AATAATAATAAGCGCAATGTCGTTTCATTTTTAATATGCAGTTACAATATTCGCAACGAAGATTTCGTCGATTACGCACAATGGAATAAATTACGGCTGAAGTGATTCTATCCAGCGCCAGCCTCATGGAATCGATAAATTTACACATGAGCGCTTTGCGCGGCACCACTCCTGTCGATCTGTATGAGAAATCGGCCTCTGTGTGTAATTAAAGCACAGTATCTCAATGACTCGGTCACGTGCGCATAAATCTCGAATAAAATCTCGGCGCTTAATTTATCGTATCCGCTTTTGATGGTACAAACAATTTTAAGCGAAGTGCTGATAAACACAAAAAATTCGACCCAGGGTAACAGTCCCGTTCGGTATTAACGATTCGCAGGTCCCTGCCTTCTATCGAAACTAAAAAGAATATGAGCATCGATTCCTTTACGTCACGTATAGTCGGGTCAAGGTAGTGCATTTGTATGATGAGAAACGTGACCTAGAAGATTTAATGAAACGAGTGAAAGATAGGAAAGAAAATGTATGTAAGAAGTATATCAAAAATAAATTTGTCATTTTGAAAGAAAATTGAAATTATTTCTCAATCGAAATAAACAAATTGAGAATTATTATTTTATAATATTCATTTAAAATAAAATAATTCATATAAAATGTAAAATTTTTTATACTAATAGAAAGATTTATAAAACTAAAACTATTACAAATAAATAACATTAAAAAAAAAAGTGTATTTTTTCAAACAAGATTAATTATTCCTTCATGTCATAGTACAATACTAATTTAGTATCTAATTTTGTATTGGATAGTCACTATTAATTTTTAATTTAATTTACAAGCTTCCATTAAAATTTATTTTTCTGTCAATGTAATGGCTTTTTCAACTCCAATATATTTTTTTTATAAAACTTATGTGAAAATCGTGAAAACGTAATCGAGCAATGTGATATTCCATAAAAGCTAACTACTCATAAATCTCATTAAAATCGAATATTAAAGGAATATTGAAATATATTACGAAAATTATGATATTATGCTATTTGTTTAAAAAAAATTGTCAAACCGACTAAGAGTAGTTATAATGAGTCACGAGAACATAGTACAAATGCGTTATCATTGTTTGAAATATTGTTGCTTAAATTAGAATTGACAAGGTTAATGAAAATGTCGCTGTAAATAAGTTAAACATGTCAAGGACTTCATTATTTTCCAGAAATGAAGTTTCCACCTTTTAATTTCACGTACATATGAAATTTTGTTGAAACTAATTATTCAAAATGCTTACTTTTCCAATAGTCGTTTTTGTGATTTACTAGACACAATATAGTCTTTCCATGTAAAATATGGGTGAAATAATAAAGTTATAAAGTTAAAGATATTATAACTCAATAAATGAAGCAGCGCCGGTGTTCAATTTTTTCAACAAAAGTTGAAATAATAAGCAGCATAATGAATTGACGCAATTTTCAGTCATAAAAGCAATTCAACGTCGCATATCAGAAAAAAAAAACTTAGTAAAAATAATCAATTTTTAAATCATTCTCTTCATTATTACTTGTTAATAGCATTTCAGAGTTTCTGTCAAAAACATTTTAGCTTGACATGCACTTAAAATTGCTTTCCTTTATTATAATAATGACAAACAATTAGCAATTGACGTAAAATATTTACTACTTATTTTAATTTTTTAAACATTTATCTTTTGAAAGAATACCATACTTGATTTCAATTCTAAATGAGAAATTGTAAGAAACTACAAGCTTTCTCTATCTCAATAAGGATTGTCTTAATTTATCTGCCTTTAAACTTTCCTTTTTGCTAAACTAATATACACGTCACCTTACTTTTAGAATTCATTTACATACGTAAACGTCACTTTGGCAAACAAGGAACATTAGGATTCTTAGGTGAGTTATATGTACTTAAAAAAAGTAGATAACGTTTTTTTATTAATAACAAAAAAGTATAGAGTTGACGTAATATCAAAAAGTTATGTAAGTTAATTTTGAATTATAGACGTAACAAAATTATGACAACTGAAAATGGTACGCATTTTGTTCGGTCACCGTTTAAGTCTGCATATAAATAATTCATATAAAGATGAGAATAAATATAAGATATTTGGTTTAGAAGAAGAAAAACCGCTACAATAAATAAAACTGAAAAAAAGTGTATTTTGTTATATTTCTCTACACATATAAAAAAAGTTTATAATTATATTCAAAACATTTGCAAAATCATATCTTTTATACGAGCAATTCTAATAAATTACTTGATAAAAACGTAATACTAAAGAACGTTTAATAGTATAGATAAACAATGAAAGTGAAACAAGTAAAACATAATTATTTTCCGCAAATAAGTAAAAAAAATTACGCCATTATTTTCCGTGGATTACGTCATTAAAAATGGTATTCATTTATGATATTTATTGTTAACATTTTTCGCTTGTTTCTTAATTCTAATGCTTATAAGTACCGTAAGTAGTTTCTAATGAGTTTAAAGAGTCTATGTATAACTATTTACATTTTATCATAGTGAGAATTACAAAAAACGATAAAAAATTTGCTAATTTCATGACTAAATTAAAGCGATTAAATAACCACGAGAAAGCTCAAAGACAGAAAATCTTTAAGAACTTCTCCATCACTGGGAATAGTGATGACTCTGGAAAAATGGAGTTTTTGCTGTCAACTCTTTCAATTATGCATGTTATACTAAGTCGATACTATATTCGTTCTGTAAAGGTAGAAAGAATATTGATATCTTTTTGCAAATGAATCCTAGACATTGACGGTAGATTTTATAACCGAGATAAAATATTTACACAGTTATTTACGTTTTGCCCTTTTAAGATTTTTATATTTCCGTATTAATTTCCTAATAAACGCTCTAAAAAGAATTCGTGTTAATTGAACACCTACATGCTACACGTGGCGTTTCCGGATCAATCAAAATGTAAAAATAACGTTTAAAAATATCGTTCAATGTTGAAAAAAAGCAAAATTGCGTAACCGAAAAGACAAACAACATTTTCACCTAAACCAAGAAAAATTACGACGTTATATTTGTTTAAAATTTTAATAACCAACATTTTTACTCAATTATAGTCAAAGAAGTTTAATTACGTGGATTTTAGTTAAAGCTAAAACTGTTCAATAAGGAGTCTCAAAAAGATCCTTCTGGAAAAAGTGTTCGTATGAAAAAGTTCGCAGCTAAGACTAACATTCTTTGCACTTTCATCGCTGACTTCTTACATGCGACGTAAAGAAATAAGATTTAACTGAAATACGTCGAACCTCGCAATGCAATAAATATTCTGAATGCATAAAAGAATATTTATATTCACGCGAGGACAACTTCCAGTCTGCATGAGATAAATGAGAAAAGTTTCGTGCAAATTTCATTTTATCGGGAAATTTTTCGTGGCCTTGAAAACCATTTCAATAAAACGCAGACTTGAAAAAAAGAAAAATGGAAGAAATAATTCTCCTTTTGCCAATTGTCATTGTTATTTCAATTTCTCTCGCATTCTGTATTGTACAATTATACAGTTTAATCGCTAATATAAAATCGCTAAATACTCTTTGTTGTCACTTGTAGCTCAAGGGGCAAATAAATTGATCGCGTTCGCACTCAAATGATTTTGTTTTCACGCCGATTGTACCAACGCGTTTGTGGAAATTGGAAATTCTTCGACCGGAATTCAAACGATTAACGATCAACGTGGAAATTGCACGGCTAGAATATCGAGCACAGTCATTAAGAAACGATTGTTTTTGTCGCATATGAACAGATGTAAGTGTCTATTATCCATTAGCAAATAAATATGATCGCATTTTTAATGTGAAAGCGAATTCTTCGATATCGTAAAAAATCGTAAAATCAATAATTAACCTAATGAGTGTAACTAACGTTAAGTAAAGATTGGTTTCTGTCTTAACGACTCTATGGTATAATCAACACATATACTGTAAAAAATAAAATGTTAATTTTAACTCAAAGATGTTGAGTGGATTTTCTGAGACAAGTAAAAATGTCAAAATTAACACAAAAATGTTAATTAAAAAATTTTTACATTGTAAAACTACTCATATCAAATAATTCTGTATCATAAATTTTGCATTTGTGCACAAATAGAATAAAATTTTATTCTCTTCTTCGTAAAACTAAACAAAATTTAAGATTAAAAATCAAATCGCTAATGGCTATGATGCTGAATTTAGTTGTAAATGTGAACATTTCTTTTCATAGCTAGTTAATATTATCGTAACACAAGAAACTTCTTTGTTTTATTATGTAATTATCATTATGTAATTATCATTATGTGTACGTAAAATGAAAAGAATATAAAATGTACTCATGATGCAAAATTATTTTTATAATTTATTAAATCGAAATATACAGTAATTAAATTTAAAAATAATTATACCATATATACTAAGTTAATCAAAAAATGTGCGAAAAATTTTAATTATATACTCCGCGAGAAAATAATCCCAGACAACATGTCTAAAAAACGTCATAAAAACATCCTTTACACGTACATATGTTTAACAGATATCTAAAATACATCATGACGTCTTTTAAGCATGCGTATCGTCTGGGAATATATTTAAGACTACGTTATTTTAAATAATTCCAAACAGAAAAAAAGAAACTCTTTCAATTTCTAGTTTCGTAAATATACATAATTTTTCTTCTTAAATAACTCTTTTGGGTGAAAAATTTATTTAAGTATACAAAAGAATTTTTTCAAAGAATATTGAGATCTTTTCAATGGAATCGTATTCGTCTAACTTTTCCTGCTTAGAATCATTTGACTAACGCATTCCAAAAGCCAGACGGATTCCTCGCAAGACATTTTGTATATAGACGGTTATAACGCGAGACACAACCTCTTTGAGATTTGCAAAATATACTAAAAATCTAACGTTAAGAGAACATGTTGCGAAAGAGTATAGAAAAGGAAGAAATATAAGCGGATAAAGTCGTACCTTGAGGGATGCCATATCCGACACGGATCGATGAGTCTGAATAGTTTCCAACTGGTCTAAGCACCAGTCTAGTTCCTCTATCGTTTCTACAGCCAGCTTCATGAAGGGCTCCTCTGAAAAATTTGAAGAAATAAATTTAGTATTATCCAATATTTTCGCGTTCACTCTCTCTTTCTCTCTCATCGTAACAAGCAGTGAGTTAGCGTTGAAAGAATTTATCTACTGAAAAAATTAATTTGAATTTGATTGTGATTACAGAAGCGCTTCGGAATTTATCTTCGTATTTTCAAAGCTTGATAAAAATTCTTCAAAAATATATCATATGTGAAAAATATTTTAAAGCTTTATAAATAATGAATATAAAAAATAAACAGTACTTTATAAATAAAAGGGAAATGAGAATTCCACAAAGAGATAGTAAGAAACACACATTCAGCAATTATAATAACGAATGTATTCTTTAAGGAAAAATAGATTAAATTGTATACAAGTCTCATGATTTCTTTTAGTAAACCATACACGGAATGAATAACTATAATAATAGACGTGATCCAAAAACAGGGAATATAAAATTCTTGGCAGAAAGAAAGTATATATCATATTTCTTTGATATAATATTAATAAAGGGACAAAATACAGTTTTATATATTTTTGAAAAAAAATTGAAGTGCCCAAGCTTCGATTTATATACATAAAAAATCCCTAAGGGATGTCATGTAAAATAGAAATCGATGTTTAATAAGTATATAAGAGAATTACACGATATCGCTCCAATAACTTTAATGAAAAGAAAGAATAAATAGAAATTATCAGAACAATTATTCGATTGCTGATATAACGATAATCATTAAATTCTATTTAGAAGGAACTAATAACATTTTCTGTATATTAATGATACATGAAAAAAGAATTTAATTGTTATACTGAAATATATTAAATCAAATTAAATGAAGAATAAAGTACTGAGCATTTAAAATGAAATGCTAATATTTTGTGCAAATATGCACAAAAAGATTCATCCGGAAATAATGGAAGATGCAAAGTGAATTGTAATATCATATTATCTTTTACCTCCTGGCGCCAAAATCCGTGGCTGTGGCGTACTACTGCCCTGTTGGCCACTACTTCTTCGTGATCTGCAAAAACAATAAGTAAATTATAACTTAAGCTAGTTTTCGTGCGCGCGCGTATTCATAAACTTCTATACACTAACTAACTACATTGTTCACTCCGTTGTCATCTTTGAAGCTAAGAATGAGTCGTCATGCCAGGAGACATGGCGGTGAGTGGCTATTGTTTATTAATTATACTCACACATATGTAAATCACATTAATAGTCACTGCTCAAGTCAAAATTATAATTTATAATAAATAATGAATACTAAATAATGAATAATAAATAATAAATAATGAATAATAAATATAATGAATATAATGAATAATAAATATTATACTATTTGATAATTTAATAAAATGAATGAAGAAAATTACTGTGAGACGATATTTTCATGTAAAGCATGAGACAATTTATAAGCATCGATAATAGAGAGAGAGAGAGAGAAATAAGGAATAATAATTTCAACCTAACACTATCAGAAACCATGTATTGGTATACAGTTTCTGTAACGTTGATTTTTCTCTGTTCCTATATGTATACTTTTTAATTGAGTCTTCTCACGTGACACATTTACGTGATACACTCAGGTCACATGGCACACTCATAATAGGCACACATATGCATATGGAAATGTCGATTCAAATGCATTTTTATCTCTTTTTATCACATGTAAAATTGACGGAGTGAGTCAATCTAGTTAATATATGTACAGAAGCCTGTACTTCTCTCTGTATTCAAAATAATAATAAGCGACGAATGTTACTGTATTTATTTAATGAATTTAATATGATCTATTTATTTTTTCAACAAAAAACTTCTTATAAAGGTTTATAAAGATGCAGTAACATCATTTATAAAAAGTTTTATATAAATATTAGTACATATTAAACTGATTATCTATTTAATGAATAAAATATTAATATTAAAAAAATTAATATAATTTTATTAGACATAAAATCCGCGTTCTGTCATTATTTATCTTTGTGTTGTATAGTTATTAGGCTAGACTTATACATACTATAGTGTATAGTGTATTAATCTACTTACTTGTTCGTCGGTACATTCGTGAGCGACAAGAAATTATTCCTGACCGAGCGTAAAGAAGCAAGAATCTGTGCGAAGGGTGTAACGATGAGATCCTCGCCATGGCTGCAATTGAAAGAAAAGGCATAGTTCATCATTGATGTTTCATTGTTCCACTGAGGTATCAGGAGGGTCGGGTTTTAATGGCCTTGCTATGAATTATTTGCAAAAGAGAGTTAGCGTCTACTTCGCTTTACAGTAAGTTGCATGCACGCTTAACAGCACTACAAACTGATTCTGTTTTCACGCTCATACAGACCTATACACTAAATATGTACAACAGACACAGACACATGCATACATTGACGCGCATTTCGTATCCAAAAATCGTCAAATCGAGGATCAAAGAAAAAAAAGAGAAAGCAAAACGCGTTCTGCGAAGCGCGTGATTTCAATTTAATTTAATAAATCTGCATTTCTTTTATGACGAAAAGTAATAGGCTGCTTTGCATAAAATTGCGACTCTTATGGCGATCAAATAAACTATATATATATAAACTATATATATATACTCTTCGATATTCTAGAGATAAAAACAAACGAATTACGCGCCAATACGAAGAAATATATTCCTATTTGTTGAGAGATATTGCGGGGCTTCTCGCACGCGTTCGCAAGCTCGAACCGTAAATGGATTCCAAGTAATCCTAATAGTTCAATAGTATCCTAATAGTTGAATGCGAAACAAACATTTGATCACAGCGAATGATGAAGGATTACGTTGAAATTTCGAAGAGACAACGATATTCATGTTTTTAGTGTTCCTACAATAAGAGTTAGGATAATAAAGTCACAATTTTTTATTGGTTACTGAAATTCGCTATATACAATAGCTATTATAAAACAATTGCGAGTTACAAGCGAGTTGCAGATATTCATGTGTTTGATGTTATCCTTTATGTTTGCCTCATTATTTAGAGCTGGTAGTATACGTTTACACGAGACTTGTTAAAAAATGTTATTTCTAACCATACCATACTCATTTAACCAAACTCAGCTATACATGACTGATATGTTCTATTTTTTAAATATTTTCTATATCGTTTACTGTATCTATAGTAGTAATCAACTTATATGTATATGACCAAATCAGTATTACCAACGTAAATTTGATTGTTAAACAGTTTGTCCTAACTCTTATTACAGGAATACTACGTATTTTCAATTTCATTTATTTATCGATTATACAACAACCTGTTACTTTACAATAAAATAAGATAAAACAGCGATTATGAGTCAAGCGCGATTATATATTGGAATACATAATTTATACCTTCTAATACTATTCCTTGATTCTTTATCCGTAACGTTTCGACTCTTTTTCGAATCATCATCAAATAATGGTATAAATAACAGAATTATAAATTATTGACAAATTGTTAAATCTTCTGAGAACAGGCGGTAAGAAACTTCTTGACAAAAATGTCACAAAGATGGGCATCAATAACCATTACAGCAGACATAAATTCCACTGTGATAAATAGATGGAAAAATAAATAAATCAAATTTTTGTGATGTGAGATAAAAAGAAAAGAAAAAACTTACCGCCGGATCTACAGACGTTAACGCCTGAATTACACATTAATAGTTAGAACATTAAAAATATATGAAAGACATCGCAGATTTTGTGAAGTTTGTATAATGACGTTAAACGGTAAAATAAGACAGTTAAATTATTGTATCATTTTTATTGCACTGACGCAATTTCAAACAAATGTTCAATTCTAGCCAAATTGGATCCCTCTACGAATACCATATGCTACGTCGACTTGAATTTTATCTCTTTTGGTTCCCACGAGAACTTATACCTCCGGAATATACTACTGTAATATACCTGTACCACTTTCCTCTCGCTCGCCGTTTGCTTCCTGATTACGCGACGTGTTTTCGATTCCTCTACATATCTAACAGTTATGTACGTTACATTATACCTCATATGACCCATTTTTTAAAATCCCCAACAATCGATAGCGTGTGTGGATTAATACGGTTATTTTTCGTAAATTCCAGATACTACCGAGGTGACATAAAGCAATTGCGATTACTTATTTTATACTGTTAACGACAATATTGTGCGCATAAACGTGCATGCATATAATGTGCAAGATTACAGAGGATTTTGCATCAGACAGATCTTAAGCCCACATCCTCTTGTGTAGACATACAATTAATAATATCTCCCGGTACTAACATTAGACAAATATCTACGACAATGTTACGTATTATATTCCTCAATCTAGAGTATACGTGGAACAATAAACTCAACAGATTATAAATATCAATTTTGATATTTTTCAACAGATTATATCTTTTATCAATCTCTCAAACTCACAAATTATTTATACTAAAAGTCAAGAAAAATTGACTTTATTTTGATGTCATGAAAGTCAAAGTGATGATTTTTTGTTACAAGATTTGACTGTTTATTGACGTTGAAAATCAAAATAAGGTCATTTTGATTTTTTTATCGGTTTTTATGTGTTTTTTGGATAATCGATGAAAATAGTGTAAGTTAGAGACTTTAAAATACTCAAGTAAAATACTCTGCACTATTTTATCTGTGTGTTATGATTAATTTTACTTTTCGCTGAAAAGTATCCTTCGAAAAACTGCTGCATGTGTCGCAATCGATCATTACTTGAAAAAAGAACTAAAAACGATATCGTTCCAGATTTAGTTCGCGCACTTCCTTCTCGTTTCCGCAACGATGTTTCCTGCGTGCATCGTGCCCCAGTAAAGGAAATATATTTCCTGAAAATTGTACATAACGTACGCGAGAACTCGGTGGTAGTACGGTAATCAGCAATCATTATTCATCCCATGCTTTTCTCCCATCTCTCCCGCGAGAGAAAATTACGTTATTCCCTCGAGAACAATATCGTGGGAACTGAATAATTTTGGCAGTTATCCATTTCTCCTTCCAGTGAAATTATCGCGAATGATTTTTTTGCAACGAGAATCTCGAAAATAATGTAAACATTGTCATTAAATAATTACTAATCAACGTTGCTTGTTCGATGTCAAGAATAGTGAATAAATTGTACTAAAAAATAAAATAGATAATAATAACGCGAACTAACATTATATTGTAATTTGAAATCTGTTTTTAATTTATTATATTTACGTTATAATGAGATAATTATATATAAAGACGGCTATTGCAATATACTACTTGCAGAGAACTTTATTATTATTGTATTCTCTCTGGCAATCCGTCAAAAAATCGCGCGTAAACGTGTACGCAATTAACTTAATATAATTATAGTCATGAGATAATTATAAACTCGTACTTTAATACTTCTGGATATAATATCTCAATTTGTTTAAGTTATAATTGGATAAAATTATATAAAAGATATTACGATACTTCATGTTGCACTCTATTATTATGTTGCATTCTTGCGATTAATCAAGAGATTCGGTACGTCCGTACTAAATACGTATATATCAATAGGTTAATTAATTATGATATAATTATGATAAATTTGTTTTAAATTACTGCTGGATATAATATTCTAAACAGAACTTTTTGTTCTTAAGTATTAGTGTATATTATAATTGCAATGTACAGACAAGAATCTCTATCTAAAATTAAACATCGTGAATCGCAGTCACGAGGTTGCCTATACAAAAGTTCATTACTTAATACAAACAATAATAATTAGCAATGTACAATATGCTACTATCATGATAGCAAGATAATAACAATGTTTGTTACACTGATTACGTTGAAATATGCACAATTTCGGAATGTGCATTGAAGGATTATAAGTAATTCTAATTAATTACACAGACCAAACGAGATAAGTAGTAATAAAAGATGCTTAGTCAAAAAAAGTGAGAATAAATGGTATACCAAGAGAAGTGCGTCAACAAATACGTGTGGTTAAATTAATTATTAAATTAAGACGCACAATGTGTGGATTAATTTTATTATTATCGTGCAAAATTAAAAAATTTTATAATTAAATATATGAAATATCTCTGTGTTAAATATCACGTGAATTTATAGGGATGAGAATTATAAATTAATACGCTGTACGTCAAAAGATATAGAATATGTTTTAATAGAAATCATTTTGTATAGAATTATGTATAGGCAAATTTGTAATTATATATACATATAATATACATATAATGAAGTTATATATTCTCTATGAATATCAGAAAGGTCATAAGTTATGGAAAATGTCGATGGTCTTCTACATATATCACATTCGCATTAAGTTATTTAAAAAAGAATTTTACATCAATAACTAGACGCCAGAATCTATAATCATGATTATCAAACGCGTTAATAAATAAAAAAAGACTATTTTCCCATGTCATTTAAAATAGCAGCTTAAACAAATCTTAACAAAAGTAAATGTTATCAGGTTGATATACGAATGCATAACAATTATATAAATAAAAAAGATGTCCGAGCTAAATATGTTAGTAATTATCCTAAGTTAAGATCTTTGAGAGAAATCGATACTTTGTTTGTCAATTCTGGTCGATTTAAATTTATAAAAAAATAAGTAAAAAACAAATCCGACTTCTATGATGATAAAAACTTATTAAAAGCTTTCACAAGAATTTTTTAATGATTTGTATACAATCTGATACAATATAAAAATTTGCATTAAAGCTCTAAAATTCGGATCCTTTTTTATTTATGTTGATGAAAAATTCTATAATATATAGCCGACGGAGAGTTAATAATGTTTTATAAAATAAATTTACTTACTACACATAAATTAACATTAAAAATTATTCGTTTCCGTTTTATTAATATTTTTGCTTTCTTTGATGCATTTCTTGAAATGAAAATAAAAGTAAGTACAAATCCTCTCCAGTAATGAAAAAAGAAATAAATTTCCATCACAGTGATTTAATTATATTTTGCTATGAGAAAAAATATTGAGTGGTCGAAGAGAAGAAAAACATTCTCCTTATTCCTTCTCGCGATAATAAAATATTGCGGTATAAAATAAAGTTTATATGTCGGTTCTCAGAAGTGAGGGTATAGCAAAAACGCAACATTTCAAATACGCAAAAATATGTTTTATCAAGAAGTATGTTAT